ACAAAAAAAAAAAAAAAGGAAAACTGGTAGCCCCTCCCTGGCCAGCCCAACCCTGAATGTAAACCTGAGATCTCCTCTACAATGATAATCCTCTTAACAACAAGGTGGGGGTGGGTCACAGCAGCCCTTACCTGAGGGGAGTCAGGGCTTGGCTGGGGTGCAGGGTCAAAAGAGAATAGACCAGGCCGGGTGTGGTGGCGCACGCCTGTAATCCCAGCACTGGGGAGGCTGAGGCAGGAGGATCGCTGTGAATTCGAGACCAGCCTGGGCTACATAGTTCCAGGTGAGTCTCAACTACATAGTGAGACCCTGTCTCAAAAAAAAAAAAAAATCAAAAGAAACCAACTGTCAAGTTAGTGATCAAAGGCTTCTCTTCTCATTTCCTGAGACAGCAATAGGTTTATTGAGCAATTTCCCTGTAATAGGTCCCTGTTTGCTTGAAACCTGACCTAGAAGGAGCCTAGTTTACAGATCCTTAAGCTTTTCACAGGAAAGCAACTTACCCAGAGTCATACGCAGTTTCAACCCACTTCTGCCTGGCTCCCAAACCCAGGGCTCCCCTGCCTGGATCACAGGTGCAGCACAGCCCCTTGGTGATGCAGCGAGCGTCTCTCCCGGCGTGGGCAGCAGGAGGAGCGGGGTCCATGTTCTGAAAGGCCTGGAAAGGAAGACAGGAAGAGAGGGCCGCCACAGAGGGGGCCACTCCGGCCCTGTGTCTCTCCCCAGCCTGGCTCCTGGGACTTAACAAGGCAGCAGGAGCTGCTCCAGATGGCCACTCGGCCCGCACATTCCTGGTGCTCAGTGCAGTGAGTGCAGCGAGGCCCCACGGCCTCTCATTGATTTTTCTGCTTCGTTAGACAGGTGAGAGCTCTCAGCACAGCTGCTGCCTGTCAAGAGCCACTGTCCCTGCTGCTAGTAGAAGCAGTAGCTGCCCCTGGTCTCCGTGAAGGGCGCCTTCACCCACATGCCACCTGGATTTCATTTCTTTCTTTCTTTCTTTTTTGCAGCACGGGGGATCAAACTCAGGACCTTGCTCTTGTTTTGTTTTTGTTTTTGTTTTTTTTAACAGGGTCTCACTATGTAGTTGAGACTGCCCTGGAACTCACTATGTAGCCCAGGCTGGTCTTGAACTCACAGCAATCCTCCTGCCTCAGCCTCACAAGGACTGGGATCACAGGCGTGCGCCACCACACCCCGCTAGGTTGATTATAGTTTGACACATTGTACCCACACTGCTTTGCTGTATAATTTAATCCTGACAAAGGGCCTAGGTAGCAATCCACTTCTGGGAGCTATCTCTCTATAAACCTTTCCTATTCTCAACCTCCTTTGTTCTTTGGAGTTCATTCTTCGGTTTCAGAGGACAGGAACTCAACACACCTGACATGTGGCAGGTTGGGAGTTGTATTTCTCCTATATCAATAGGACAGTTGTGAGGCTGCATTAGATAGGGCATTTATAGGGCTTAGCACATAGTAAGTATTGAATAAATATGATAGTGATTACTACTGTGATTCTTTTTTTTTTTGGTACTGGGGATTGAACACAGGACATTGCACTTGTGAGGCAGGCAGCGGCCCCACTGAGCTAAATCCCCAGCCCACTACTGTGATTCTTACAAAGGCTGGCTCTATCAAACTTGGTCTCCTAGCCCTAAGAAGTATTATCCTCCAACAATCAAAAGTAGTGGGCGGGGGATTGAGCTCAGTGGTGTCGCCATCTGCCTCACAAGCACAAGGTCCTGATTCCCTTACCAAAAAAAAAAAAAGTAGCTTCAGAAGTGCTCAAATCTGTCGCTTGTGCTTTGACAAAATGATATTAGAGAGTCCAGGGACTGGACAACAGCACACGAGAATAACAAGAGACCTCTCTCTGCACTCCCCTCCATCAAGCTCCACACATCTTTCCCCCGCTGGTTCCCTTAAGATATTTTTCCTCTTCTTTATTACGGAGATTAATGGCCAGTAGATGCAAATCCTTCTCCCCACTCCTGCCATATTGTATTTTGTCAGTCTTTCACAGTATTCTTTTTTTTTTTTCCTTGGTACCGGGGATCGAACTCAGGACCTTGTGCTTGCCAGGCAGGCGTGGTGCCACTGAGCTACATCCCTGGCCCCTTGTACAGTATTCATGATTCTGCATCACAGAAACCAAAGAACAAGTTGAACAAAGACCAGGCTGCCCTCTGAGGAGATTGGAAAAGAAATTGAACAGGTGAAAGAATAACCAGGGAGCTACAGAAGGGCTGCTGCACACTGGCCTGGTACAGGATCCCTACCATTGAACTTCAGCTCATCCCTGTGCTCTGCCTGTGTGCTGTCCCTGGAAGCAGAGGACATGGACCCAGGGGGCTAAGAGGAGCAGGAGGAACCGGCAGCATCCAGTTTGTATTCAGTTTCATTTCCTCCTGGAAACAGAATTTCTCAGAAGAGACCTCACTATCCATACCCCCAGCCCACTCCTCGGTCTAGAGAAACAACCATGGTGCCGGCTGGCTTGGGCCCTGTCCGGCTGTCTCCCTGGCTCTTGACCACCCTCTCACTCTGGAAGTTTTGATTCCACTTTGGTAAACAACCCTTAGTTAGGAGCTGCCAGCTCAACTACTCCAGGAACGCTGGGGCTGTTGCAGCCTATTTCCCTATTCCTCATTCCCCCACTCCAATCCCCCAGAGAGATCAAAGTCTGAAACCAACTTACAAAGTGGAATTTTCAACTTTCACCCATTGCCCTGAAATGGTTTTAACACTGGAACCCCACAGCCTACTCTTAAGAAATCAATTCCACATAGGAGGAAGAGGGCTTACTCCAAAGGAGAACCTCCCTAGCCTCTCTCATGTTAGACCTTCCTCAAAGACCTGCTAGGTTTGAAGTCTCTCAGGGCAACCCAGCTGGGCCATCTCCAGAGGTTCAGGGCATGACAGGAGGGTCTGATGGGCTTGCTGTAGCAGCCAGCTTTTGGGGATCTGCCAGGGAGCCCTGCAAGGGTACAGGCTCTGGATTGAGGCCGACAGGCAGGGAGCTGCAGCCCCTGGTTACCATGGAGATGCTGGCACAGCTTGTGCCCATCTGCAGTTGACAGGCAGCCAGCCTTAGGGAAGAGGGAGGAGGAATCTGGGTACTCGAGAAGCAGCTCATCCTGTGAAGAGGGGCAGTCTGGAACATCTCGAGATTACAGCTGTTAGGAAAAGTATTAAGAAGCTCTAAGAGCCCAACCCCTAGCAGAGTCAGCTAACCATGACAGGTCAAAAGGTCTCTTTAAACATTCCTGAGAGGCAGGAACCAAGATAAACGTCTGGTGCGGAACAGACCCTACCCCTTTGAACAATCCATGGTCCCACTTCCCCGAAGTCCCCACCCTTTGTAACTGAAGGTTCCCGTAATTGACCCCTTTCTCGGAATTCCCCCTACCCTATAGCTTGTGGTTTTTTCCTTTAAAAACTGTGTATCTACCCTGCTTCGGGGCTCAACTCCTCTGCCCCTGCGAGGGTTATGAGCTGAGCCCCAGCGCGCTGGAATAAAGACCCCTTGTGTTTTGCATCAAGAATCGTCTCTCCGGGGTGTTTATGGTGCATCGTGGCGTCCCGGACTTAGAGTGGTGGGATTCCTCCCTGGGAGGATCTTACACAGCCTGGAGGGCCAGAGAGGAAGCTGGGACTGGCAGCTTGTGGCAGAGGTGACCTCACAGTGACCCTGCAGCCCTTAATGGCTGGGATGTGGCCTCCTGCGGAGCATGACTTCACTGTGGAGTGGCCAACCTCAACCAAGGCTGCTGGAAGAGATGTGGATACGGTGGAAAAACCCCAGAGCCAGAGACGGGCAGGAGAGCCACACCCATAGGCCCTGAACAGCCCAGGCTTGTGGAGAAGGTGAAAGCCTAGGCTGGTCGAGCATGTCTGGTCACTTAGTTGCCACGCCCGAAACAGTAATCCTGATCCTCCAAGGCCTGCTGTGTGAATGACGTCTGTCAGGTAGGCTGTTGGTGAAAATCCAGCAGGCTGGCTGCTTTCCTGCTGTGTGGTCTGGAGCAATTCAATGTTTTGTGCTTTGGTAGTCTCAGCCAAAAAACATTAAAATTGCTGCCCTGCTTTCCTCTCCCGGTTGGGGTGGGAATGGATGAGAAAGCCACCATGAGCCATGCACAAAAGAAGGACCTAGTGGGTGGTCTTTACGTGGCCACAAAAGGAGTCCTCCCCAGGTCCCTACCACAGCCTGAGGTCCACCCTGGGAGTACAAGCACCCTTTCCTGGCTCTTCTGAGCAGAATCCCAGGTTTCCAGAACCCCGCAAAAAAAAAAAAAAAAAA